CTGACCATTTTCAAAGATTTCAGCCGTCGCGCCAACCAAGGAGAACCGATCCGCAAGCGAAAGCGATAACATCGCTGAAGCAGAAGTTTTAACAACGGCGAGCTGGTGGTCCTGCCGGTGATTGAAAAGGTGGTTGAAGGAATACGCGAGGAAAGCCCAAGGTTTCCTAGGAGATGACTCAATATACTGTGAGATCCGCTAGATTTAAAGATGGAGCACCACCACCCATATCCACTTACTGACCAATGGGTTCAGAGCTTCAGCGGGCATAGCAGCGATCAAGAGAAAATGAAGAAGTGTATCAGACATCTCAGACCAGGAGTCGACGGCCACCCGTATATCTTTGCTACCTATGGATTACCAAAGATGCATAAAGCGGAATGCGGCAACATCGTCCTCATGAAAGCCAGCTGTCAGGAACGGAAGGTCTGAGAAGCAGTCACGACGGAGGGAGAAGAAAGCATGCTTAACAGGGAGAAAGAAATTTACAAAATCAATCCAACATGGCTTGCCCAGTTAGATAATTAAACTGTGCAAAAACTCGTGCTATTTGAATTCACATGGCCGGTTACAAACTCGTCATCATACTATTTCTATCTGGCACTAAAACCCAAATCGTTCAAATACGAATGAGTAAAGAGTTACGGCCCCAGCTCATTATTCAAAAATGGGGCAGCTATAACTCCAGGTATGACCTCTCTTAGAGGTGACTTATCATCTTCCTATGCAAGGTCGTCGAGGATCTTGCTCCGGATTTAACAGTGGTTACGCATTTCCTGTTCCTAAACTAAATCATCTGAAAATAAGACGAAAACTTGTATTAAAATAAACTAATATTTATAAGCTTTAATCCATTAAAAGAGAGTTCTAAGAATCCCATGAGACTTCTTTTGAAGAACAATCAGTACTTTGAAAAGTATTGCGACTCTTTGAAAAATAAATTGAATAAGTTAATAGTTAATCAGAAAAAGAAGGAATTTTTATGCCTCGGTTTATGTTTGACCCCGGAACTGTTTAACTTCAAAGCAATGCGAACCGCTAAGCAGATTGACGACTGCGCTTCCCTTAGAACATGCTCAAAGAATTAAATTTATCACTTGTGCTGATTATTACACTACCCATTCAGCTGCGAAGTTTTCAAAGACGAATGGCCTGTTGAGGCACCCGTATCAGACATCAATTCCGATAGTCCCGCATTTTACTGTACGATTCGTGGCTCAGTCGAATTTGGAACAAAACGTTTAA